CCTCCCTCCTTCCCCCTCCTCCCTCCTCCTTCCTCCTCTTCCTCCTCCCGCCCCAGCGCAGACGGGGCCGGGGCACCGCACCGGGGGGGTGGGTGTGTCCCCCAGCCCCGGGGGGAGCTCGGGCGGGGCAGGGAAAGCAGCGCAATCCCCTCCCCTCCCCTCCCCGCCGCGCTCCGGCCCGAGGGCTCTGCCCGCTCGTCCTGCCGGGGGGGCGAGGGTTTGGTATTGGTTTTATTATTATTGTTGTTGTTATTATTATTTTGTACCGGGGTGCGCTGCTTAGAAGTTAATAAACACGGGGTCGGTGGTGGTTTTTTGGGGCGGTGAGGTCTGTTTTCTCGTTAAAAGGCCAAAAAACATTAATTCCCCGCAACTGGAAGGCTCTAGCGTGTTGACTAATTAGTCTGTAATGTCGTTTATATGCTCACGTTGCATCCCAAGCAGTCGGAATGTTTTGAAACGCGTTGCCAGGTCTCGGACAAAGGTAAGGAGCCTTGTTCCTAAGGAAGCTTAATCCATGGTAACTCCAGGGATGCCGGCTGGCTCGCTCAAGGGATTTGTTTGCCCAGTTTTTGCTTTCCCTCTTCAAATTGGAACGTCAGAAATAAATATGTCATGTCCACACATCTGGTATCGCAAGAGTTTTAAACTTAAAAGAGGCTGGAAGCTTTGTTGTCTGTGACAGCTTCGAGCGCCGTTCATCCCCGTGGCACATCTGAGGGGCTCTGCTTTTGGGCCGTACCCAGCCGAGCAGGAACCCCCCGGGACTCAGCCGTGTGTGCCCGCGATCGGTTCACGTCACTCGGCCCAAGCCCCCGTGGTGTGGTTCTGCACTGCTCCCCGAAGGTGTTAAGGCCTGGGTGGGAAACAAAACCGCACCTTCGAGCCCTCGCGTGAAACGTGGTGTCTCTTCAGTCAGGCACCACGAAGCATCAGAGGAGCTTCTCTTCTGTTCTTGAAATGAGTCGTTTTCTCGTTTCTGCTGAAATCGGTGGCAAAAGCCCTGTGGACTCCCGTGGGAGCTTCTGTGAGGGTGCTCATCTACAGTGGGAGGGGTGTGTGTTGTCGTGAGGCACAGAGAAAATTAAATTGGGGAAGCTCTGCGATCCCCATCTCTCCTCTCTCGGTGAGTTAGGTGTTAGTGACCTGGTCACAGCCGTGTCAAATGTTCTTACTAGAACCAACACCTCAATAAAAAAGACTCACAAAAACCCCTGTGATGGTGCAACGCATGAAATAATCTCACCAATTAAGAGTTAAAACTGTGTGATTCAGTTTGCTTATTAAGTAGGCCGCCTCACATGAGCAGATGTAAAAACCAAAAGAAAGACCTGCTTTCAAAGAACGAGTAGCCTGGTGGTAAAACCACAAGCTTGGGATGTGGGAAAACCACATTCCCGTCTGTGGTGTGAAACAGGCAAAGAAAGGATTTGAATGCAGATGTTTGGTAACTGAGGTACACGCCCTGATCAGCAGTTTTAGGACAGCCAGATTTCACTTTTGTATTTTGCTCCCTCCTAGGAAAACTATTTGAGTGTTGTGGTTCTTCCTGATGCAGTGGGAAAATGTCTCTGTAACAGGAAAACTTGCCCAGCTCTGCAGATAATGCTGGTGTTCCACAAACAGCCTGGATGGCTTGTTCTCATCTATGGGGCTTTATCTAGGGAGAAGCTCTTCATCTTTAAACCCACACAGTCACAGCTAGGATCAAAAGAGTATCTGGAGAGCAGCTGCCTTTGGCAGAACCTTCTCTGTGAAAACTTTAGGTCCCAGTGACAGCCTGAGTTGCCGGATCTCCATGTGATCTCAATGCAATGTGCAAACAATCATTCTGCATATAGTTGAGAGGAAAAATGGTTTGCTGGGGTCCTGGAAAGAGCAGAATGCAAAGCTTGATTATTTTGTTGTCGCTGTGCACAAATTTGTTTGTAAGTATCTATTATAAAATGGCTGTTTGCTTTAATTAAATTTCAATTAGAAGTACCTTCTCAGGCTTATGTGTGAAGTGGTTTGAAAACAAGCTGAAATAAATGAGCTGATCAAAAATATTAAGTGCCATCTCATATACTGCAATGACAGGAAAGCTGGTGAGAAGTAAGTACAAGCGATGTAAAAGGCATTAGGTGCTGCAGAAGCCTTGTTCTGTGAGTAACCACCTTCATTTCACTGACTGCAGAGAATTCTGAACACAGGCAAAGAAGATGCATGTCCTCAAGTGCCAAGACACTTCAAAGTGCTAGAGTTAAATACTTTTGTTACGTTCAAGCACATTCATCAATTCAAAGTCTTCTTCACATTTGCATTAAAATATTCCAGTCCCAGTTTTCTAGATCCTCCATGGACATGGACCTTTGAGGGCAAACCACCAGTCACAGCTCCTTCCTCTGACCAGATGATTCCCTTATGATACCAAGCACTAGGCCAAGTATAATCCCATCAGTCACATACTTACGCTATTCAGGTTTGCCCAATCCTAACCATTACACAAGAAAGTCAACGACATTTTC